GGAGCGCTGTTCTTTTTCCAAGTACGCTCAACGCCGGCTCATGCTGCGTGGGGCTCAGTCGCGAGCTCCCACCCCGCCTGCCCATTACGGAGTCCCGCCGAAGTTGCCTCGCTCAGCTGACACGGCGGAGATAGGGAGATTTTCTGTGTAGTTTTCCAATGTCCGCATTCCACCAATATTCTTCTCTCTTTTCCGACGGCGTAATCTTCGTCTTCTTCAGGATGTTATTACATTCTCTCGTTATCAGCTGTGTCACCTCCTCCGCAGTCCTTTTCTCTTTGCTGGTGTAAGTGTTCTGTAACTTACTCGTAGTCTCCTGGAGAGCCTTTTTATCCTCTTCTCCTCTAATTTTCCATTTCCTAATTTGGAACGGTTTAATCGGGTTGGAATTTTCTCCTAGTGTGCACAAGATCGCTTGGTGGTCGCTCGCAGTGTTCATATCAGTAACCACTTCCCATCTCTTTACAGAGCTCGAAAGCTTTCCTGACGTGATCGTTAGGTCAACAATGGAGGTACCTCCCCCAGGGGCCAGAAAGGTGGGCGTAGATCTGGTATTTTGGATGATCAAGTTGTTTGTCTCGACCCACTCTTACAAAATCAGTCCTTTGTTGTTGCATTCTTTATCTCCCCACGTCTCAGATCTGGCATTCAGATCCCCTGTGATCAGGAAAAGTTCATTAGCCGTGGGAAACTCCTGCGCCAGTTCTTGGAGAACCCTGTTATATTCCTCGTCAGTTAAGCTCGGAGGGAAGTAACATCCAAAAATCGTTATTCTAAGGCGCTAAGAGCAGTACAAGTGAATACTCGTGGACAGAACCTTGTCTATTGCACCCGAGCCAAGGGTGTGGGTCCCATTCTGCGGAAACTAGCAGAACTAAGGAACAGGGCGGAAAAAACTTCGAGCGCGGTATGGATCGGTTCGAAGAAGGAGAACAAGAGGACAGAGGGGCCCCAACTGGTACAACAGGTTCAAAATTCCTCCGAAGGGCCATCAACTAGACAGAGTCAACCGCAACAGCAGCAAAATCAGCAGCAGAAGCAGCAGCATCGACAAGTGTCGCAACAAGCGGTAGTTACGCAGCCACAGCAACCACAACAACAGCAACGACCAGAACAGCCACCGGTGACGTGGTCCACCGTGGTCGGACGATACGCGAGTTCGAGGAGAAGGGAGGAGTTTCCGGAGCTGCCTTCCGGAGCGACAGCTCCAAAGAAACCGAACGGAATCGGGAAACCGAGACGACCGGCGGTCCTAGTAAGAGGGGAAGGAAAGAAAATTGGAGAGCTGAACAAAATGCTCAGAGGAGCACTCAGGGAGCTAGGAAAGCTGGTGGCTGACGTCAGGATGAGTGCTGCCGGGGACCTCGTAGTGGAAACTGAAACCATCTTGAGTGCACAAAGGATCCAGGCGGCACTGGCCAGGAGTGGACGTTCTTGTGCTGAAACTAAAGAGCCGACACTACGACTGGTCGTATCAAGAGTCGATGCGGACATGACGGAAGGAGACATAAGGGAAGAAATGGTAGGGAGCGAGCTTGAAGTGATCGCGGTCAAGCTAATATCGACAAGCAGAAGCGGAGGAAGAATGATCTGGCTTGATGTAAAGGATACCAAGGCAGCGAGGGCAGTTATGGCGAAGGCCACGATCCGAATCGGATTCATGTTATGCCCCGTCAGGGCATTCGTGGGCACCAACGTTTGTTTCAAATGTCGCAAGGAAGGCCACACCCAGTTCAACTGACAGAGCAAGACGGATCTTCGAACATGTTGCTGGAGGTGCCACAAAGAAGGTCATTTAGCGTCGGAATGCAAGGAACTCGCTAAGAACACTGGAGAACCAGAGGATTACAGACCACGCCTAGAAAACGAGGAGGAGCTGGACGTTGAAGTAATCCAACATGACTAGACAGTCCAAATTGGATGGATGGTTGGTGCGGGCGAAGTGCCCTAGCGAACAACACAGGGAAGAACAGGATACTGAGAGCCAAACAGCAAGAGATCGGGATCACTCGTCCGGGGGGGGGGGGGGGGGGGCACCTTCTTCAACAGATACGAAGGAGACGGTGGAGCGAGCCCCTACGAATAGCCGCGGGGGGCTCAGCTCTGCCAATGATTGTAACCCCTATCTTTCTGAAATGAACAAAGATATTCCGGTATATATATGATCGTCGTTAACTAAAACTAACTCTATATACAGGGTGTTTCAGACCACCCGTACCAGGCCTTTTTCTCGGTTGGTTTAGGTCGTACGAAGTCGGAGATCTCGGGGTTGAATAGGGAATTGACCCCAAGGAATCCGAATTTCGTGGTCCCGAAACCCCCCCACCCCCCCTTGGGGGGTAAAGGGGGGGTCACGATGCTAAAAGTCACGGTTCCCGACCGAATTGCGGATGGATCGCATCAGAATTGAAAAGCACGGAAAATTTCACGTGGAATTGACCCCTAAAAATCCTAAATCGGACCATCCAAGGCCCAAATTTGATCCCCTAAAGAGGGGGACAGTACCCCCCTCCATAATTTCTCTTTGGTCTCAAAATTGACGTAAATTCTCCAGAAAAAGACGGTTTTCCAGGTAATCGACCTCGAGAAATCCAAATTTCATGGTCCCGAAGCTCCTCCAGCCCCCCTTGGGGGTTAAACGGGGGGGCCCAATTTTCAAAAATCGGGGCTCCTTTCCGAATCGCAAATTGATTGCATCCAAATTGAGGAGCAGAACACATTTACATCTTAAGTGACTCCTAAGAGTTCTAATTGACCCCCCTGAACGGCAGAAAGTAACCCCTGAGGAAGGGGGCCTCGCCCCCGCCAAAAATTTCTCAGGATTCCTCTTTGGTCGCAAAATTGACGTAGATTCTCCAGAAAAAGACGGTTTCCCATGTAATCGACCCCGAAGAGCTCAGGGAACATGAAATTTAGAGTCCTCGGGGTCGATTACATGAGAAACCATCTTTTTCTGGAGAATCGACGTCAATTTTGCGACCAAAGAGGAATCCTGAGAAATTTTTGGCGGGGGCGAGGCCCCCTCCCTCAGGGGTTACTTTCTGCCGTTCAGGGGGGTCAATTAGAACTCTTAGGAGTCACTTAAGATGTAAATGTGTTCTGCTCCTCAATTTGGATGCAATCAATTTGCGATTCGGAAAGGAGCCCCAATTTTTGAAAATTGGGCCCCCCCGTTTAACCCCCAAGGGGAGCTAGAGGAGCTTCGGGACCATGAAATTTGGATTTCTCGAGGTCAATTACCTGGGAAACCGTCTTTTTCTGGAGAATTTACGTCAATTTTGAGACCAAAGAGAAATTATGGAGGGGGGTACTGTCCCCCTCTTTAGGGGATCAAATTTGGGCCTTGGATGGTCCGATTTAGGATTTTTAGGGGTCAATTCCACGTGAAATTTTCCGTGCTTTTCAATTCTGATGCGATCCATCCGCAATTCGGTCGGGAACCGTGACTTTTAGCATCGTGACCCCCCCTTTACCCCCCAAGGGGGAGTGGGGGGGTTTCGGGACCACGAAATTCGGATTCCTTGGGGTCAATTCCCTATTCAACCCCGAGATCTCCGACTTCGTACGACCTAAACCAACCGAGAAAAAGGCCTGGTACGGGTGGTCTGAAACACCCTGTACATATACATATTAGCGGAAAGCCCGTGACTGAAGTCACGGGTCTAGATGCTTCACCAAAAATTTATTAGGCCGATATTGTTTCGGGGATGATGCCACTATTCGACCACATGGGAGCTTATTTTGCCTGAGTGAGCGTGCCATTTCACGACGATATCGATATTCGACCACGCGGAAGCTCCTGTTGCCTACACTGAAATTGAGGGCGAAATGAAATGACGTTAATTTATCTTCTCCAGTTTGGTGAAATGCTATTTTTTTAAAAACGTTCCAAGTAATCGTGCAATTTCACGATGAAACAGCTATTCCACTATTTCCACGTTCTTATTTTATTTCAATCTCCCTTTCACTGCTTTCTTCTTTTTACTTTTCATTTTTTCTGTCTGTTTGCTTCTCCCACTTTCTTATCTTCTCCTCTCTAAATTTATTCTAGCTTATTTTCTTTCTTTCTTCTTGTTCTGCACCATTCGTTGTTCTCCTTTTTCTTCATGGTCATCATCAGCATCAGCATCATAATCATCATCCTCATCTCTCTCTTTTAGTGTTCATGTGCTCGGACGGGAAGTAAAAAAAAAATAAAAACAGCTTAATGAATAACAGTTAAGAGGAGCAACTACTTTACTGACAAACGCGGTCCCGACATGACCTAAAAACCAATTAGCAGACAGAGGACGTCTATTACACGGACGATGATACCACTCTTCGACCACGTGAGAGCTTGTGTTGCCTACACTAATCATTGAAGGCAAACTGTCATTTCACGATGACAATATCGCCATTTAACCACGTAGAAACTCGTATTGCCTACCTTGAAATTTAAGGTGAACTGAAATGGTGATACTGTAAACTTTTCCTGTTTGGTAAACACTTTTTTTTCTTTTTTCTTTTTTTAATTGGAGAGATCGGCAATCCACTTGATAAGTGTTCAGCACAATTTATGGTGAGAGGTTAAGAGCGTGAAGGGGGTCTTGATCCGGTAGACAAAAAAAATTTAACATAACCTATAACCTACCAATGTGTGATTAGATTTTTTCTATATAATCTCAATTTATAAAACTCGACACATTTAATTTATTTAAAATTCAATTAATTTAAAATCAAATTCTTTGTCCGGCAAGGATGAATGTTACTGAATTAGGATGAACTTAGACTAAACAGGATGGATACAGTTTTATGCTTATCAATCCTTTTGCATCTGGAAAATGCAGAAACTTGGTATTACGGACGTTTACGGTTGGGTGCGAATGAAACTCTGGGTCCTGTTGGTTTTTGGTTCGATAAAAAAATGCCTCTTCCGCAATGCATTTCTGAAATGTCAAATACTTTCAAAATGGCAGCATACGAATCCACCCGTAAACGTCCGTAATACCAAGTTTCCACCATTTTCCTCGCCATTTTGAAGTTATTCAGAATTTTAAAAAATCTGATGACAGATTCGTCTTTTTCATGCCGAAGTGTCCCCTGATACCAAGTTTCATGCAAATTCACCGATAAGCAGCCTAATTTATTCTCTTGCCGCTCAAGGTCGCCATATTGCGACCGCCGCCATTTTGAAAAGGACAAAGATTTTCCGGAAAAATAATGCCAGAATCGTTTTTCTCGTTCCAAAAAACCTATGAGAACCAAGTTTCATCCCAATCCATCGACAAAAACGGGGATTTAGATTTCCGATATTTTGAAATTTGACCGGCGGCGGCCAGTTTGTCAAAAATCAAGAGTTTGACTTGCGGTTTGTGCCAAAAATTTTCTTTTTTAATTCTCTTTGAGTTGATGTGTCACAAAGGAGATGTTGCCGTTTGAAAAAAAAAGTTGGGACCCGTAGCCCCTCCTCCCCCCCCCCGNGGGGGGGGGGGGGGGGGGCAAAAGTTTGGGGGCCCTGAAAGTAGCTTACATTGATCTTTGAACATTCCCGAAGTTTAGTTTCAAAATTTTAATTAGGTAAAATTTTAGAAGGGGTGGAAGGGACTTTTTGGACGCCCTGTATACTTGAAGATAGAATATAGGTGAGTTGAGTAGAAACAAAACGAACACATCAAACACAACAAACTCATTAAATACAACAGGCGCATCATACACAACAAATATAGCAAACTCATCAAACTTGACAAACGCATTGAACACAACAGGCACATCAAACACAACAAACATATCAAACACATCAAGCACAACAAATACAACAAACTCATCATACACATCAAACACGACAAAAACACATGAAATATCAAACACAACAAAAACATCAAACACAACAAAAACATCAAACACAACAAAAACATCAATCACGACAAACACAACAAACACAGCAAACATATTAAACACGACGAACACTACAAACACAACAAATACATCAAACACAGCAAAATCTTCAAACACGATAAACATCCCTTTTATCCCGGTTAACATCAATACATCCCGTTTTATCTCTATCTATATCCAATATTACCCATATCTATCCTGATTTATTCTATCTGTCCCGTTTCAAATTGATTATGCCACTTTCCCATCCTGTTTCATATCGGACAATTTATCAAAGATCGATAAACAAAGATCGATGTATCGAAGGGTGGGATAACCCTACCTATCCTGTTTTATCCTTATCTTTACAGTTACACATTGATTATTCTCCTTTTCTCAAACTTCCTCCGTTTAACTCAATTAATATAAGTGTCGTTCCCCATCCCGTTTTATCCATGTCCATCATATTTTAAATCGAACTATATATCGAAGATCGATAGACATCACCCTGTTCCCTGTTTTATCACTATCTATCCTGTTTAATTTTTATCTACCCCGTTTCACACTGATTATTCCCCTTTTCTTAAAATTCCTGCCTTTTATCCCGGTGAATATCAATAAATTCCGTCTTATCCCTGTCTATCCTGCTTTATATCGAACGATATATCGAAGATCTGTATACAATACAGTATTTTATCCCTACGAATGAAACCCCAAAATATGATGGTAGGGGCGCAAGGCATGCCATAAGAAAAAAAAATATAAATAAAATTAGTTGGGGAGAGGGGGGGGGGTCTACGGGAGTTAGAAAAATGAGCTGGGAGGGGAGGGGTAGAATAAATGCTGGCAAAAAAAATTAGAACTAACCTGGCAATGATTTAAAAAAAAATAAAAAGTATAAAATCCGTTGACTTGGCCGAGAAATGGAAATAAAACATCAGCTGATAGCAAACAAAGGTTACCAAGGAAACCAAGGAATGGAACTTCCATATAAACGGTCTAGTGGAAAACAGCGTAAGTAGGGCACTTACGTTAATTACCGTTTATAAGTAAACGGTAAATGCGATTTAACCTATACAATTATACAATTAAATCTATACAGTTCCACATCAGATCAAAAGGGACAGAATTACAAAATTTGAGACAGCTAACGTAAATCTAACGATAGTTATCGTGAACGAAAGAATTGCTGACATAGATCCGGTAACTATTTTATTTTATTTATTTTATTTATAATTCATGTACATAAATGCCACACGTTGTGGCTATAATACTTGTCAACCCACCCCCCCCCCTAAATATTACACATTAATATAATATAGGTACGTAAGAACACAGGGAAGCATTAAGAATATTACAAAATTTTACAAAATAAAGTAAAAGGTATAGTAAATTACAGTTAAATATTATTAAAAAAATCATTTAAGGAATAAAAAGCCTTGCCAACTAGTAAGGCTTTTAGACCAGCCATAAATTCTCTTACTTCCCATTTCAGAAGAGCTTTTCTCAGGTTCAAGGGAAGGTTGTTGAACAGTCTGATGACAGTATGAGACACAGACTGTTCAGCAACCTTCAGGCGAACAATTTCATAATTGATGAAAGGGTTTCTCATGTTCTTTATCATGTCCTTACGAATCAGGCCGGTGTCAATGGCAAATTTTAGGCTGTTTAGAATAAAAATAGATGGAAGAGTTAAAAGTTGGTACTTTATGAATAAGGGTTTACAGTGGGAATTAAATGGTTTGTTAAATATCAGTCCTAGACATTTTTTCTGTTCAATAAATAATTGCCCTGAGCAGTGGTTGAGACCCCACAAAACTAGGCCATACCTTAAATGTGAGATTATGTTAGCATGATAGTACATTAAACACGATGACAGAGATAAAACTTTAGACAAGTTTCTGAGTGCCCATTTCATAAAATTAATTTTAGAAGTGACTTTCAGTACATGTGGTGACCAGTTAAGGGTTTCATCTATTATAATACCCAATGAGTTAACCTGGGTAAGAGCTTCAGATTTACTGCTCCTGTCATCATTAGTTTGACTTCTTTTTTGGTGGGAAGTCTTATAATCAATTCTCTGAGTTTTCTCTTGATTAATCATAAGTCCATTAACAGCGCACCAGGATGACACCTCGTGCTCAGCCGCAGCACAGTCATTATCAAGATTTGGGCCAGATATAATGGATGTTGTATCGTCAGCAAATAAGTATGTGAGGAATTCCACCGCACCAGGCATGTCATTAACAAAAATAATAAATAATAAAGGTCCAAGGATAGATCATTGGGGAACACCAGCTGACAGCCCATACACGATTGATAGGACGGGACCAAAATCTGAGTCAATTTTCACTCTCTGTTTTCTATTTCTTAAATATGATGCTATAAGGTCGACGGCGCTGGAGTGAAGATAGTAACTAAGTTTTTTAAGCAGTAGTTTATGGTTAATGAGGTCAAATTCCTTTGTAAAATCGAAGTGTAGACTGGCAACCGGGATCCCCTGATCAAGTGCTTTGTAAATGCATTCCGTTAACTTATGAATGGCTTGAATGGTCGACTTTTTTCTACGGAATCCGAATTGATTACAATGTAAAAACTGCCCTTGCTCAAAAAACCTTACTAGTTGGTTATACAATACTTTTTCAACAATTTTAGACAGAGTTGGTAATACAGATATTGGACGATAGTTAGCAGGAGATTTTTTGTCACCTTTTTTTTTGTAGATTGGGGAGACAGTTGCAATTTTTAGGAAGTCAGGATAAGTATTGCAGGCTATACACTTATTGATAAGTTTAAGCAATTGAGGACCAATTATAGAAAAGTAATCTTTGAATACAAAAGATGGAATGCTATCATTATTATCAAATTTAGACAAATTTAGCTCATTGATCACTCTTTCAAGTTGTTGCAATTCGATGGTTTGAAAGGAAAATTTAGAATTGGGAGGGATGACATTTTTTTGTAAAAGTTTCATTGCATCATCATCGTTAGGATGAACCTGATAATTGGTTGATATGGAAGTGAAATAATCATTAAATGCATTGGCAATTTGAGTTGGGTCTTTGATCACTTCATTATTGTAAATTATCTGTTCAATAAGGGGATTTGAGATCGATTCAGTTTCAGATTTTATGATGGACCATGCAGTCTTGGATTTATTGCTAGATTGGTGGATTTTATTGTCATAAAGTCTTTTTTTTTCTGCATAAATGGCTTTTTTGAGATTCTTGCTAGCCCTATTGCAGGCTCTTTTAAGTGATTTTTCTCCTGTTAATTTATGCAGCAAATGGAAGTGTTTCTTTTCTTCACTCATTTCCATTAGGTTAGTATTATGCATTAGGGAGAGGTTATTGGAGTTAGATTTGACTTTTAAAAGAGGGCAGCAGACATTGACTAGATTACAAATATCATCATTAAATTTCTGGAATTCAACTGAGACCTGTTCATTCATAGTATTAGGTTTGTTAGAGCAGTAGTAGCTAATATTAGCTAACAGATTACATCTATTACTTTGGGAGAAGTTTCTTCTCGCTACAAGTCGTTTTTTGTTTAAGCTGTACTTATGGTTACATAAATCCAGACATATTCTTTGGCCAGCATGATCTAAGAGGCCAGGGTCCCAATTTAATGCAACACTATAATCTATATTTGTAACACAGTCATCTGGAAGAGTTTTAGATTTTTTGGTAATACGAGTGGGCTTTGACAAAAAAACACGGGAACTATTGATAGACTTAAGTAGGTTGTCGAATCTGACTACGTTGGGGTCAGTAGGATTTAAGAAGGCTAGGTTAAAATCACCTGCCATTATAAAGCTACATTGCTTATTAGAAAGCCAGTCAAGTAAAATTTCAATTTTGCTGAAAAAGATCTCTAGCTTATCAAGAGTATTATTCAGAGGGTTTGAGGGTCTATAGATGGAAATGACTGCTAGTGGTTTCCTGAGCATAAATTCATCGATTTGTTTGATAAGTACAGCACTAATTTCAAAAATTCCCTCGATAGCTAAATCCTTAAGTTCCTGAGTTACAGAGAAAGAGATACCATTTCTTAAGTAAATAGCTGTACCACCCCCTCTAGACTCGCTCCTAGAAAGAAAGTCTGCACAAACAAGTTTTTGAAGAGGAAGAGGTTTATTATTCTGAAACTAAAGCTCAGTCATGCATAGACAATCCACCCTACCTATCTTACTGAGTTCAACATTGAGCTCATGATGCTTGTTCATAATACTTCGAATATTGAGATTAATACAATTGAGCGAGACTCCACCTTGGTTACATGCTCTAAATTGTGGTTGAGCGCTTATTATGGGTGGACAGTTATTCGAAAATTTCGCAGAGTGATGTATGGAATTAGTTTTAGCCATCTTATTTGAAATATTCGGCCAGCTTAAGTTGGCCACGTCAGTATCTACTAGTTAGATATCATGATAACAGATAAGAGATGTCATGATTGCATTTACGAACAACTTTTTCCCCCACCTATTTAGGTGTAATCCATGGTTAGTAAAATGGACTCTGTCAACTACTTTGTTCGGAAGTATTTGAACATTATTGGTATTTGAGGCTATCCTCGAAAACATATTGTTCATAGCACCTCCGAATTGACAAAATTGATTATACATGTTTGGTGGTAGGTCGTATCTAGGTAGTACTTCATGAATAAAAATTTTTGGTTTTTTAACACGCTCAATTATGTCATTCAATTTTTGATAGCACCGGTTGACATTCCATCGGCTGTGAGAATTAAAGTTGTTAGAACCACCAATGATAACTACAATATCTTCCTCAGTGAAATTTTTAGTTAGATCTTCTAGATTTTCAATTACATGTTCGATCATTGCATTTGGTTTGAAAATAGATATTATATTAAAATTGCTATTACTACCTAAAATATCTTTGAAAATAAAAGATAAACCTCGACCATGTGAAGCACTGAGTAATAATAAGTTTCTTTTAGTACTATTTTGTAGGGGATCTGGAATAAAAGAGTGATTTAACTTCTCCCTCAAAATTTCAGCTGATAGACTGGCAGGATTATTTTTTGGCCTTATATTGGTATTAGATTTTGATAGTAGGATGTCATCAGTGTTTTCATGTGACAATAGCTGATCAGTTAGTTTCTTATTGTCCCTAATTAGTTTTTGGATTTTTATATTACTTAACTTTATTTCAGCTAATTGGGATTTTTAATTTTTAATTTTATTAATAATTAATTTTTATTTTATTTATTATAATTAATTTTTATTTATAATCAATTTTTTTTATATTACTTAACTTTATTTCAGCTAATTGGGATAGAGGACCAAATAGTCACCGACCAAAGATCCATGGAATGAATCTAGTCGTAGAAAGGCCCCACGAGCAGTATGGAAGCGCTATATTTGTTAGGCCAGACATTGACGTACGCTCCTGTGCCTTGACCTGCGTTGAGGATGTAGAAATTTTAACGATAGAGCTCCAATCCTGCACCGTCACATCAGTGTACAAACCACCCAATACAGCGTTCAAATTCCATGAACCAGATAACTTCCGCAATCTAAATGTTAACATCGTCTTGGGTGACTTCAACTGCCACAGTACAGCGTGGGGATACAACGAAACCAACGACGACGGTGAGAAACTGGAGAACTGGGTAGACCAAGTGAACCTCAAACTAATACACGATCCAAAATTGCCCGCATCATTTAATAGCGGACGCTGGAGACGAGGATACAACCCGGACAACATTTTTGTGTCTGACAGGATAGCTCAGCAAACAGTGAAACAAGTGGAAGAACCCATACCAAAATCTCAACACCGAGCAATAACCTGTTATATAACGGCAGCAATTAGACCAAACACGGTCCCGTTCAAAAGACGCTTCAACTTCAAGAAAGCTAACTGGGAACTTTTCACACGAGACCTGGATCAAGAAATCTCCAAAATAAAGCCCGGAATCCAATCGTATGGAGCATTCACAGAACTTGTAGGCAAAATCTCACGACAGCACATACCCAGGGGATGTCGCACCCAATACATTACTGCGCTAAACAACATCTCGAAGGAAGCCTTAGACAAATACGAAGAACTGTTTAACGAAGACCCATTCTCGGAAGATACAATCCAAGCAGGCGAAGACCTATTGCTCAGTATTTCTGTGTCGAGGAAGGAGAAGTGGTGCAACCTATTACAGGAAACCGATATGAAGCACAACAGCAGGAAAGCATGGAAACTAGTCAAAAGCCTCAGTGGCGATCCAACAAGCCCCCAACATAAGTATGGAGATGTCACACCGAATCAAATAGCGCACCAACTGCTACTCAATGGAAGAACCAGGCGGAAGAAGAAGGACTGTAAAATCAGAAGAAAAATGGACGAAGAGAACAACTTCCTGGCGTGTCCATTCTCCATTCAAGAACTTCAGAGTGCCATCGAGGAAATGAAAATCAACAAGGCAGCCGGACTCGATGACATAAGACCTGAACAAATCAATCACTTCGGGCCTAAAACAAAAGCGTGGATACTCGCGGTAATAAATAGCTGTGTCAAAGAGATGCAAATTCCCAAACTCTGGAGAAAGTCTCGAGTTGTTGCCCTTCTGAAGCCTGGAAAAGACCCGACAGAAGCTAAAAACTTCCGGCCAATCTCCCTCCTATGCCAGCTGTTCAAAGTCATGGAGCGAATGGTTCTGAAACGAATATCGGATCACGTGGATGAAGCCTTAATAAAAGAACAGGCAGGTTTCAGGCCTGGTCGTTCATGCTGCGGACAGATACTCAACTTGACCCAGCATATTGAAGACGGTTTCCAGAGGGGCGAGGTGACTGGGGTTGCCTTCCTGGACCTTAGTGCAGCCTACGACACGGTCAACCACAAGCTACTGACCAAAAAAGTGTATAGTGTAACGAAAGATTACACACTAGCCAAGTTCATTCAGTGCATGCTACAGAACAGACACTTCCTTGTCACCTTGCAAACGAAGAATAGCCGATGGAGGAGACAGAAGAACGGTCTCGCACAAGGTAGCGTTTTGGCCCCAATACTATTCAATATTTATACCAACGATCAGCCAGTTAACGAGTCCGTGCGAAGCTTCATTTATGCCGACGACACAGCAGTGGCTGCCCAAGGAAAGACATTCGAGGAGGTGGAGGAAAAACTCAACGCGGCCCTGGAAGAGCTTGCCGAGTACTATGAAGAAAACGACCTCAAGGCAAACCCCACAAAATCCCAAGTCTGCGCCTTTCACCTGAGGAACCGACAAGCTAACCGAAAACTTCGAGTAAGCTGGAAGGGGCAACAGCTAGAGCACTCAAATAACCCTAGATACTTAGGAGTAGTCCTGGATAGAACACTGACGTTCAAGGAGCATTGTCATAATACAAAGAAAAAAGTATTTGCTAGGAACAACATTGTGAGGAAATTGACAGGTTCGACATGGGGAGCCGAACCTCATGTTGTACGCACTACAGGGCTGGCACTCAGCATCTCGGCAGCGGAATACGCAGCACCAGTCTGGGGTAGATCTACACATGCCAAACAGGTGGGTATCGCCGTAAACGAAACCGTACGCATTGCCACAGGATGCCTCAAACCAACACCCACTGAGGAACTGTACCCTATTATAGGGATAGCGCCACCTCCCATCCGAAGGCAGGTAGCCGCTGAAATTGAAAGAACCAAACAGAAGAATGACCCGAGACACCCCTTGCATGAGCATCAAAGACAACGGGTCCGCCTGAAATCTCGCAAGATTTTCATTGATTGCACGGAAGAACTCTCCACAACCCCGAAAGAACGGCGACTGAACTTGTGGAAAAATTCAGTACCACACTCGAAGATAGAACCACTAGAGGAGGGATCTCTTGGCCTTAACCTGACCTTCGGGACGTGGAAGTCTCTTAATCGGTTACGAACAGCTGTAACACGGTGTAAATCAAACTTGCTGAGGTGGGGTTTCGCTGAGAACGAACTATGCGAGTGTGGGGCAAAGCAAGACTACAACCACCTTCTAATCTGCCCTAACATGACTAAAACCTGCACAAGGGACGATATTTTTAGTGTAAATGACGAAGCAATCTATGTTGCAAATTATTGGTCAGGGAAAATCTAATTTAATCTTATTGGTGCTATCGGACACGGAAGAAGAAGAAGCTAATTGGGATTCTATGTCTTTTGATTTATCATTTAACATTTTATTCAGTTTTACAACATTTTCATTTAAAGATTCGGACTTATTGCTTAAAATTAAATTTGTGTTTGACAGAGAATTGTTTGCTTTTTTTATATCGGCTATTTCTTTGATTAGGGCATCACGTTGACAATGAAGCTCTTCAACACATTCTTTACTTCTCAAATCGCTTTTAAACTTTACAATTTCTTTGTTTAAATACTCAATCTCTTTCCTCATTTTTAAATTTGAATTTGACAGAGTACTATTTTCATTTTTGATGTCGGTAATTTCTTTGATCAATGCGTCACGTTGACATGTTAGTTCACATATGCGGTCACCTTTCTCCGGTTCCAACTAATATAGGTGGGATGGGATGGGATGAGTCGCTTTTACAGCGCTCTTTGGCGCTTTACGACGCCTAATCGCCACAAAGCTCGATCTTCCCACAGGTCATCAGGGAGTTGACAATCTCTTATCTTATTTAACATCCCCTGTCGCCAACCTCTCACTGCAGTCCCGTTTGAATTTTCATTCCGACCACACGTACAATTTTTTGCTCCAGCAATTTCTAACCTCTTTAGTTGCCTCTTGGCGTTTTTCCCTTTATTTCTTGTTTCCTTCCTTTCTTTCTACGATGATGTGATAACTGTGCTTTAGTTTAGTTATTCTAGAAAGTGCTTTTCTATCTTTTTATTTCTCTTCGCTTACTATGTAACCTGGTATAATCGGTTTCGTCAATGGATCTCTCAGATCCGCCCGGTGACCCGGGAGGAACCCCTCCTAAAGATGCTTCTTCTCCTATGGACACTCTAGACCCTAATCAAAGTGAATTAATCCTACAGTCTCAACCTCCCACCAATGGACATCTAAAAGACACCCAATCGGAATTGAACCGTCCTCAAACCAATACCTCTCAAACCGACTAGATACCATCTCATACCCAAGTAAGATCGTCACCTACAGATATCCGCAAAGCGATTATAATCAAAGATAAAAATAATTTGAGATACAATGAATCCTCTAACGGCCCCTTCGTAGTAGCTCTTACTAAAGACAACATAGGAAATAAACATCTAACTCTAATTGGTGAATTGTTATACTCTAACGGAATAGAAGGTATTAAGAATATCCAAAGAATAAACAAAGATATGATCCATATTGAATTGTTAAATAAAGACTATGCTAATAACCTTATTGAGAACTACGCAAAACTAATCCCTTACGAAAGATGTAATTGTTTTATCCCGTTAAAATACACTACTCGTAGAATCATAGTAAATAATGTCCATACGGATCTTACGATTAATGTGATAGGTCAGTATCTACAAGATAAATATTCAAATATCATCAGCGCTAGACGAATATATCGAAAAAATGATGATAACGCTTTGATCCCCACAGCTAAATTAGATGTACTATGGGAGGGGTCTGTAACCCCTGACTTTCTTTATATTTTCTACTCAAAATGCTCTACCACCCCGTACATATATAACTTAGTGAAATGTCTTAACTGCCTGAATTATGGACACCGCTCTGACTTTAATGGTAATCGGATATATAAAAGCCAACCCCGATGTCACAAATGTGCTGAAATCCATGCAGCCCATGATATATGCCCCAACCAAGTAAAGTGCTATTGCAAGGATCAGGATGGAATCAGTGATATCCAACCCTTTAACCAAATCTAGCGCCTCACCCTTCAGGGAAGTGAGCAAGTATTGAAACTTTTTCACTTTTGCTAACTCCTTCACATCATGCACGGATACTAAAACAGGTTGTAAAAAGACCGCCAGTCTTCCAATTTGCCTGAAAACTGGGGCAACTCAAGTTTGGGTAGCCTAACATTCGCCGTAGATGATGATTGAGACTTGGCCGAAGTGTTCTCAGAGTTTGGGGCAGAATTACGCAAGATTTTAGGTGTAGTAGAGAGAAAGGTTACTTCTGCTGCAAGAATTATTTCGTCGAATTCTTCCTGAATTTGATCCGTATTTACTCTCGATTCATGCGGAAGTTTTGAGTTAAGATTCATCAATTCATTTTGGATTGCATCGAATTTCTCCTGGAATATTGCTCAGCGATCGAAAAGTGGTCTGAATTGCTCACAATTACTGTCCGAAAGTTCATTTTTGAACGTTTTCTCAATAGCCTGTACCCTAGAAAATATAGTGGCTCGCTTAGTCTCTGATGCTTCTGCCATTCTCTCCTCTTCACTTATTTCGGGTGAATGTCTACCGCGTTGTTTCTTTACCATTTTGCTTGCTTAGGTGCGTTAAGGTTCGAATCCGGCCCGGGGGACCAAAAAATGTAAGGATTGAGCGGGTCAAAAAAATACCAGAAAAAATGAGTGTAGCCAAAAAGTGATACGTTTCCGAGGGACTAAAGAATATGGGATGACGGCTCAAAAATGGTGAAGGAACATGTGCTAGACCTAAAAGCTTGGAGGTGATTGTATCGAGAGATCAAAGAATGAAGGGATCGAAAAGAGAGAGAAAATGGAATAATATATGCGGTTTTCGAGTGAGAGACTATTTTTTATTGATCAGAAGGATCCTGTCCTAGATGATTTTATTTTTACCAGGCTCAAAGTGAGCCGGCTACTACCTTGGGTAGGAGACCGGAAGGGCCACCAGGCACGTAATGCGCCGGCTTCTGCTTTGCGCAGGAAAGTCAGAAGGACTTGAAATCTTGAATACTACTCTGTGCTATTGCACTTACTTTTACTCCGGATTCATATGTGAATCGGCTTCTCCAGTAGGAGGATTTGATACAAACGTGAATTTAGTTAGAGATGTCTTGAAATTTTTCCTGGGTGAATTTAGATAGGACTGCCAAAAGTGGAATATTAAAGGTGATTTCGTGATGACCCTGAGAGATTAGCCGCTCCGATCGCTATAGATGAGTTGATTCAGCTTGCTCGCCAAATTCGCTCCTTGACCTTGCTCGAGGAACTTGATTCTTGACTTGGGTTCG